GAAGTACAGGGAAACTCTGGGATGTTTTGGGTTGCAGTGTCTCCTGCAACTAACGGCATTTCAAAGTTTGGCATCCTCGTATGTATGTGTGTTTAAAGGGGAAGGACTATGACTGACAACGTTGCCACGGAATTTTCTGTGCCGCGCAAGCCGGGGAGGGGTCGGAGACCACCCCCCCCCCCGCCGCCCGAAAGAGTCAACGAGTAAATGGCAGAAAGGAAAGCTAGTAAGAAGGTGCAAAGAGCGAATGGCACAATACGAGCGCCTGTTCGCGTTAATCAGAGTCGTGACGGGGGAGAGAAAAAGCTCCCCGCTCTCCTTTGAAGACTAGCGGGCCAGTCAAAGCAGCTCCTGCGAAATTCGTCTCGGTTGCTGGCTTTGGGGGAAGCAAGGCGGAAGCTCGCGATGGGAGCGCCGGAGACAAGGGCAAAAAGAGCGCGAGCAGCGGCGAGCGAGGAGCAGCAGCAGCAGGAGGAGGAGGAGAAAGTGGGCAGCTCAAAGGGTGCCGGCGCCAAAAGTCCGGTCCAGGTTTTGCCTGCAGCCCCGGGCATCAGCAATAGCGGCGGCGGCGGCGGCAGGAGCCAGAGGCAGCCCTTTGCAATGTGGTCCGCCTGTCTCGGTCCTTGCAGCGCGAGGATGTAGAGGTGGGTTTGCCGAGAAGAAATCGCTGGCGTGGGAGAGGGAGAGAGAGCGAGCAAAGGAAGAGAAAAAGAGAGGAAGCGCTGCTTCCGCCCGCTGCCGCTAGCTTGACCAACTTGTCTCCAACCCCCCCCACCGACTTGGCTATCGCGATCTCTCCCTTCTCTGCCCGCGACCCCTTTGGTTCGGGGTTTGAGGCGGCCACCCCGGATGCGCTCGGCGGGGAGGCGGCTGCCCCCGGGATCCCTTTCTTCACAGGGATACCTTTGGGGCAGGTGTTAAGACCAACAACAGCAGGCGGCGGCAGCAGCAGCGGCATCACCATTACGGTGTGCGCTCCGGATTTGGATCTTTAATCCGGCTGGCGACAGCGCGCGCGTAACACGCACACACGGACTGCCCGGAGTGGCGGCGGCGGCGGCGGCAGCAGCAGCTCCCATTTCTCTCCCTTGTTCGCTGCGGCTGCTCCTCTCTGGCTGGGGATCGGTCTGCCTCCGGTAGGTGCGAACGTCTGGAAAAAAAAGGCCTCCTCGGTTGGCTACATATGCAGATACGGGTCGAGTGGGGGGGGGAGCTAAAGGAAAGTCTTGCGGAAAAGTTTGCGGCGGTGAAATAATTTCCTTTTCCTTCGGGGGGCTGTCGAGAGAGTGGCGCAGGTCCGCTGGCTCCCCTCCACCTTCTCCCTCGCCTTCCTTCCGTCCGCCCGTCCCTCCCTGCCTTCCTTCCGGGGAGGTGGTGCTGCTGCAGCGGCCGCCGCCGCCGCCACGCCGGTCTCAGATCAGTGGCTCTAGACAAAAAGCGAGGGGGGATATTCGGTGTGTGTGTGTGTGTGTGTGTGTGCCGCGTGCGGCTCTCGGCAGCGCCGGCGGCAAAAGAGCAGCTTCGCGGCGAGGTCCCCGGAAGAAGGTGGGCTCTGCCGCCCGCCCCCCCTCGCACGAAGTCCCCTCAAAAACCAACCCCGGGGCAGAGACCTGCGCGCTTTGGACGACGAGGCAGGAAGAGGAGCGGCCGGAGGTGGGCGCCGAGTCCCGAGCGTGGAGCCCCGGGGGAAGGTTTGGGCCGTTGGGGGCTTCCTGGCTATTCGTGGCTTGGGGAGGGGGCGCGTGGGGAAGGGGGTTCGCGCTTGCTTGGCGGCTGCCGAGCAAAGTTTTGTTGGGAAGGTTCGTCCCCCCCCTCCCCTCCTCGCTTAGGACGCCAGACGCGAGTTTCCAGGGCGCAAGATTTATTGAGGGGGGTCTCCTCCTGTCCCTCCTCCCTCGCCGGCCAGTGCATTGAAGGTTCAGAGCCCCCCCTCTCGCCTCCCCCGCCCCCTGGGCCGGCTAATCGGTGGTTCGTTTCCCAGGTTACAGCCGCGGTGTCTGCAGCCAGCCAGCCAGCCAGGCGTTGGAGGAGGCTGCTGGGTCTAGCTGACCCTCCACGTCGTGCCTGCGCTGCTTGTGTTGGGCAGGCGGCGGATTAGAGCGGCGCCCGGCCCGCGGGAAGCACCACTGCAGGGGCTGTCAGCTGCCGCCTCGGCCTTTCCCTGCGAGGGGCCGCCGGACAGTGGGCGAGCCCGGCTGGCGT